GTCCTTCTGAAGGCCAGTGTTGCTAAGCAACCCTTTCCTTACTTCTTACCACGTAACCTGCCCTGTGCCACCTCAAGAGCTCTGCCAACAAGGAGGTCATCACTAGATTCAGTAACTTGACCCTGGAGTAGGGCTCAAGACAAATGAACCCCTGTAACTTACCCAGTCTGTGCTGTTATATTGTTAGCAACAGAATCTACACCCTTAGGTTGGCTTGGCTGGATAATGAGAGATACATCTAGAAACAACCGAGTGCCTATTACCGCAGAGATGCTGTGCTGTCAAAGGTGGTAACAGAGGGTCTCAGCATCTTCGCAGGACCCACCCCTCTGCAAACAAATAATGGGATCAGTAATAACAAGAATACAAAACTACTTTTGAAAAAAAAAAGCAGTAATTAGCTTCGGGGCTAACCAGAGAGAACTTCATCGTATCTTCAAGAAACACTAGAGAGATGAGATCTGGGAGAGGGATTCTAGGGCACAGTGACTGTACGTGTTAGGTTGAAGATCTCAAAAAATGCAAGTGAATGTTGAAACTGAGTATTGACGTGTTCAGAACACATAGTGGCATCACAATATAAAGCATCTTAAGAAATATGAGTTAGAAGAGAGGTTTTGTTTTTTAAAAGATAAATTCTGACATTGGTCAAGAACAACACCCAGGTGTTCATCCCCCGCCACAGGAAGAAAACCCTGGGCTGTGAGAAGCCCTTCAACAGGCCATGCAGCATGACGATGGAGACTGTGTAGGAGATAAGGACTGAAGTCCCCTAGAGTAGCAAGGGCAAGCATAAGTGGACCACGCCCACCAACCACTACAGCTCCAGGATGCTTTCACACGGGGACTTTTCGAGTGGGCCCATGAACTCATTCATTTTCGTCAAGTAGAGGCCTCTATCCATTATTAGGACCTTCTCCCTACCCTTTAAAGACCTGAGAATATGACAAACTGTGTATTTTGGAAGATTAAGGAGGAGAAATGAGGGACTAAGATACATTAAGTTATGGGTGAACAGAGGGAAAAACTTGAGGGCTTCAACAAAGATGGTAACAACTGGGACATGAACGATGTTTTTAATTCATAATGTCCTTAGTAGTGGAAACTCAGGTGTGGACAGATTATGGCCACCTGCTTGGGAGATCCAATGTATAAGAGAAGGTAAATAGGGAGAAGAGCAGAGACTTTTGAGGAAGGAGAAATATTCAGATTGAGAATCGAGGCCTGTACTTGCCAAAGGCACATAGGACCTGCAGACACATATTTGAGGTAAGAATATCAGATTATAATTTTAAAATAGAGGAAAACTTGAAGGATAAGAGTAGAACTTTTGGAAAATGCCAGAAAAAGGAGTGGCTGACAAATAGAAGAAAAAGAAGAAGAAGAAGATCTTTGAGGTTTGAAGCAAGGTTTCCCAGAAGATACAGTGTAAGTGGAGTCAAGGGGGAAAATGTCAAAAATATATGTATGGATAAGACTATGAGCTTTTAGACAAAATTCAGGTAACACAAGGACTGGAAAACATTCCTACTGAAATTACTCATAAAAGGAGATTTCCCTGTGTAGCTTTACTCTCTGGTGAGACAGAGCCAATGTGACAGAGAAGACAGAAAAAGATCCACATGTGGGAAAAGGTAGGCATGTGCAATCCTTGCACTCTGGAGGCTGGAGGAAGACTGTCTGGAGGTTGAAGCTAGCCTCGGCTACACAGCAAGACAGAATCAACTCACAGCTGGCCGAAGTGCTAACAAGAAGTGACTGTTGAGTACCCGTCCTTCTATCAAGCCCCCTACCCCAAGGCTCAGGAAACGCTGCAGAGTGTGGGCAGAAAGAATCCAAGAGCTGGAGGATGGGAGGGAGCGCTGCGAAGTCCTGTCTTCTGGATAGAACGGGGCCGGGCAAGGTCAAGCAGCAGATCCTCCAACATGCTAGCAGACAGCATTAACCAGGGTCGGCGGTTTACAGGGGTCAACAAATGCGGGAGAAGGAAGTTCTGGGGAGGAGGGACCCAGAAAGAATGGGAATCGAGGACTGGGGGTGGATGTGATCAAGACGCATTGCAGACACGTCAGGAATTGTCAAAGAATAAATGAAGGATACGCTAAACGCTATTTTTTTTTAAAGACCCAGACTCGGAAACCAAAAAGGCAGGGAAGAAAATGGGTTGACTAATCTTTCAGGAATTTCCATTAGAAAAGGCAACAGAGACATTTGTTTTCTCTTCCAAAGCTCTTTTCAGCTATTTTGTATAATGACAGTAAAAGAATTTACAGATATTGTGCAAGTATAAATAATTGGTACGTCGTTGCTAAATGGCTTATAAATTGAGTTATTTTCTGCTTAATTCATCTAACGCTTCCTGGAAAACTCGCGTCACTTTTGACGGATCTTCAACTGTATTACTTCCTGACACGTCAGCCTTGTATTTTTCTATTTCCAGAATCTGTCAGGTTGCTAATGATGTATGAAAATCTACTTTCATCCTCCAAATGAGTTCACTTTTAAAAGAACGTCATGGGAAACAATTTATTAATGAGAGGTTATCCTGTAATATATTTAGTTTTAGACAGTGAATTCCTTAACTAACCTCATTTTTTTAATTCAAACTAGAACTCCCTGGAACTCACACACACATGGGTGCAGCATTTTCTTAAATGTCGCCACCAACATGGCCTGGGGAGCAGAATTCAGAGTGGTGCATGTTTTCTCACTTCCTGCCCCCAGAGAGAAGTGCTCCTTCTCATTTCCAACAGACTATGAGAAGGTGCGCCCAACTTCTCAGGGTTCTTTCAACTGAATATCATGAGTTTGGTGAGGAAATTTTCCAGGTCATTTGGGTTAAACGTCATTTTTGTTTTCTTTCCTTGCTGGTCTTTCAATCAGATTACATTAGAAATCTACTCTTGGTTTTTTTTTTTTGTTTTGTTTTGTTTTGTTTTTTTGTTTTTTTTTTGTTTTTTGTTTTTTGCTGTCGTCTCTGCCTCTACTAAGTCTTGAATTTTCAGTTTCCAGTTGTTTTGGAGCACACTGAGCTGTTGGGAGTAAATAGTAAACTCCAGGGGAGTGGGAGAAACAGAAATCAGGCATACAAGTGAGGCATCCCTCTAAGAACCCTGCGACCTCCTTCTAAGGATGATGAAGATCTTGTTCTGACCGTGCGCTCTTTAACAGCACATGGTATAGAAAGAAAGAAGTCAGAATGCGCACAAAATAAAGTACGAATCTCTTCTTTAACTTGTGGGTGACCATTTTACATCCGTCTGACACAATACATTTAGGCTTATTTCTTTAAGGTTTCATTAGGTCCTTTGACACGCACAGGTTGAGATGCATACATCTCTTAGCTACTTCCAAGGCCAGCATCCACTTTGGATGTGCAATAAAGTTTAACCAGAAAATAAGCACGTTTCATTCTGATAATAACATCTTGGGATGAGAAGGTTAAAACCATGCACATAAGCACACAAAATGGGAACTATGCTAATTAGCTTGATGCCAGGGGGTGTCCTTGGTGTACACACACACAAACATCAGCTTTTACATGTTAACTACACATAATTTTTATATCACTGGTATCTCAAAAAAGCTGTTAATTATTTTTCAGATCTCATCTAAATGAACACTGCTGGAACTTCAGTGAATAGACCAGTTCAGAAATAGAAATGCACCTGTTTCACAGGCTGCTGTAATGCAGCCAGCTCAGATCTTCTCTACATGGTAAATATCTACAAAGTATGGGAGATCATACACATTATTTCAGGCCAACAGATGCCTTATTACAGCGTGCCTACGGTAGTTTAATAAATTATTGAAAGTAATGAGACTTCCACCAAGAATAGAATCTATAAACCGTTTTTGAAAGGATAGGGCTGCAATATTATCCTGGCGTTTATGCGTGGATATTGCTGCCTCCTCCCCAACTCTGAAAAATCAATTGCTGAATTCATTACCAACATTTGTAAGGCAAGACTTGCTTTTCTTAGGGTTCCTTGCGAGCACTGGTTCACTTGGGGGAAAAAGCATTGAAATAATTATAGATTCACGTGAAGGGTAAAAATAGCAGCACGCTCTTCCTCCATTCCCCTCCGTGGTTATATTTTTCCATAACTTCAGCACAACATAAAAGCCATAAGGCTGGCGTTGCTACAGTGCGCATTCCAGCTCTAGATCACTGAGTCGTACGTGTTGTTTCGTCCACCACCACAACAAAGATCCAGGTCTATCGTTTCTCCGTGAAGAGCTTATCCCCACCCTCTTTACGGCCACTCTCACCGCCCCCCCCATCACTATCGCTAACCCCCGATGGCTCCTGTCTATTCTCTACTCCGGGAACGCATCACTAATAAACACCTGCGCGACACCCTAACATTTGAGGCTGCGGGAATATTCCTATACACTGCGTGAACATATGTCACCGGGACTGGGTTGATAAAGAAGCTGATTGGCCAGTAGCTGACCAGGATAAGGCTAGGTGGGAAAAGCCAAGCTGAGAATGCTGGGAAGGAGAAGGGCCGAATCTGGAGTCGCCAGGAGGTGCAGAGAGAAAGCAAGATGAACATGCTGTGCCGAGAAAAGGTACCAAGTCACCTGTGGCGGAGCGTAGACAGGAAATAGTCGGTTAACTTAAGTGCAAGAGGCAGCTAACAGCAAACCTGCGCTATTGGCCACGCATTTGTAACCAATGTTGACTCTGTTGGTTGAGAACTGGCAGGCCTGAAAGAAAAGTCTGCCTGCATGAGACTGCTGTTGAATTCCTGAGCCTTTGAGATACACCTAAATTAGCTTGGGCATTAGTAACTCATTGGTGTTTATAGATGAACAGTAGCCACAGCGCGGATGTAAGGCCATTCATTTTTATGAGACACATAGTTGGGTTCTGTGATGAACTGGCTAGCAAAAATAATGTAGTTATTTAATAATGTGTGGCGTGTGTGGCGTGTGTGTGTGTGTGTGTGTGTGTGTGTGTGTGTGTGTGTTCTCAAGATAAAGAAACTCACCAATTTAACTTGGGAAAATATTTTAATATCCGTATTATTAGCCCTTAAAATATTGTATTGCCTACCACAATGCCAATTTCAGCCCGTCACCCACATTCCATAGCGGGGAGGCTGGCATGGTAAGTACTACTTTGGCAAAAAGGAAATAGACATGTAATTAGAGTGCTATCAAGGCTCCAAACTATCATACTATGATGATAAAATGAAGTCACAATGTAAAGGCTCTAAACTACAAAAATAAACAACAGAATTTGCCAGAAGAGTCCGTGGTTTTGAGAATTCAAAACACTATTCCCAGGACAGTTTCAGGTGGTATGGAAATCACTTCTCTAGAAGTAAGTAACAAATGTGTTAAAGAATTTTAGATGACGAGTATTTTCAGGCTTTGCCGCATTTACACAGACCCTAACCTAGCTGAAGTCTCCAGTAAACAGTTTGGTAAATGCTATGAAGAGATGTACAGAAAATTAGAAAATCAGCCTACTCTACACCAAAATAAACTTTCTGGGCATGAATCCAAGAAAACCCACTCTGAATACAATAAGGATAGTTGCAAACACTTTCTACTTGTGAAGAGAAATGGAATTGCTTGATGTGTGGGAAGACCTTTTCCATTCAACTCAGCAAAAGGAGTCAGTTCAATGGATGATGAAGGCACAAAGTAGACAAGCCGACCGTAGATAAGACACAAGAGCCAGGGCTTCACGCTACCAGAGGAGTCAGGCACCATATAACATTCTTCAGACACATGTTGGATCAAACCAAGGAGTTTCAGCCGTGAGACTGATGTAAACACCGTGTGAGCTACAGGAGCCACCTCTGAGCTTTAAAGGCTTGGCAGTAGTAGTTGTATGGACTTCAACTCAAAGACTTGCAGGTGCCCTGCTGCATCATCGTCTTCCAGTCAGTGCAGGTTAGTGCCTTTGCCGAGGAGTGCTTGGTGTCTTCCTCCAGCACCCTGACAGACACTGCTCCCATCAAGGTCAACGCGGCAATGACAGAGAGTACAGAAGCAGGCCCTTGCCAAACCACAGCGGCCACCAGGGGAAACCCCAGTACCCAACAGCAGTGTCGTCATCACCCAGTAATCGACACGCTTGGTCAGTTTCATTTTCATCTACCCCATCCTCACAGTAACCCAGGAGGTCAGTCACGCACGGATCTGTGCAGATGTAGGTGAGTTTAACACAGAGAAACCCTCAGCAACATGGGGCTGGAAACCATAGTTGAAATATCCCTGCACTGGGTAGGAGATGGAATGAACATACAGATGTATGAAGAATCCGGTTCTTCCGTTATTTTCCCTGCTCTTATTATTTTATTCACGTTTTATATGAAGCATTCTCTTCATACGTTTACATTTGTATCCTGAAATTTTTGTCATTACACAGTTAAGGAGTTAAGCGGGGTGAGCTGGCCACTTCCCTTGGTTTCATCGGGTGACAACTCTGCTCTTATCCAGGAATGGGTCCAATATGGAGTCTTCACAGCATGTACAATCCTCATAACAAGGCTGGTGTTGGGGAAGTCTTATGTTAATAAAGCACTGTCTGGCCAATAGGAATCTAGATAGGTGGGACTAGGAGTCCAGGAGGATTCTGGGAAGGAGAAACACAAGAGAGTTTGAGATGTAACGCCATGGGGTAGGAGCCCGGAACTATTCTCCGGTAAGAAACATACTTAGATTAACAATTATGGGGTAATTACTTAAGTCAGAGCTAGCCAGTAAGAAACAAGCAAGGCCAACAGCTTCATAATTAATATAGCCTCCTGTGTGTTTATTTGGGACTGATGCGGCTCTAGAACTAGGCGGGCGGGAAGGCTTCTCTCAAGGAAAAAGCTTCTCTTTACAAGACTGCATGATTTCTGCAAGTCTGCCACAGCGACCTTTCCTTCACTCCCACCCCAACCACATTTCCTGTGGTGCTGTCTCTATCAAACCCATCGTCGGTGAAGCAGCAGCAACAGGCTAGTTACAAGGTGAGTCAGCTAAGGCCCTCGGCCTCAGTTTCCACACAGACCATGGCTACCCTTCATCCAAAGGAAAACCATTTGTTAGGCTGTGGTTTTTCCCTGAGCTAGACTCAACTTTCAAGATTTTAGCTACAATAGTCTCACCAGAATTCTAAATCTGAGCAAAGTGAGACTCCTGAAATACTGTGTAGCTGAAAAGATGTTTACTTACAACGTGAAAACCAGTTCACATTTAAAGGACAGAAATTTATTGGAAAAGGTTGCCAGGCGCTGATGGCGCACTCCTTTAATCCCAGCACTCGGGAGGCAGAGGCCAGCCTGGTCTATGGAGAGAGTTCTAGGACAGCCACCAAAACAATACAGAGAAACCCTGTCTCGAAAAACAAAAACAAAAAAAAAAAAAGGAAAAGGTTTATATAAGTCAATTTGTCGTCACTAAATAGATCCAGGTTAGCTGAACTCTGAGGGGACGAGGCTTACGGAAATACAGGTCCATGCTGTTAGCCACATGTGAGTTTATCAGAGGTTTCTCATTTTCTTTTTCAAATTTCAAATTAAAAAACACAATTTGAAATTGGGCATGCCAGTGCATGCCTGCTATCTCAGCACTCAGGATGGGGACAGGAGGAGCTCAAACCCAACTGTGTCAGGCGAGCAGAAGCTCTTGGGACCCTGTCTGAAAAGAATAGAGAAAACAAACAGAAGAAAGAAGCAAAAAGATCTAGAAATCTGTCACACTAACAATTAATTAATAAAAACTCAGCTAATAATAGTCCAATAAACAGCCATCGATAGCTGAATCTCAATTGTTTGTAAAATAGAATAAAATCAAGACCATGGGATTATATTTAAGCGCTTTAGCAAATGGGCCAGGCTAATTTCTATTCACTTTCTTTTTAGAAATAGCATCATTCTCTCTTGTCAACGTTGAAACCGGAGATTGCTGTCATGTGGCATGCTTTTTTTTTTAACAAAAAGTAAATACCTGCCTGTAAGACAGTATTGGAGTTTCCGAGGTGACAGGATGGGGAAACCATCTGCCACAGCAGCCCAGACTGGGAATGGACTCTTCTCCCTTGCTCCAGGGACAAGAAGAATGGCCGGTACCTACTGTTTGTGTGGAAGCTCTGCCCAGAAGACAAGCAGCCCAAGGCCTCCAGGTAGCTGGTAGCACATAAAAAATGCTTCCTGAGAAAAGGGACAGGAGACAGGAGAGGAACACTGAATTGTCACCAAGGAAGAGAGAGAGAGAGAGAGAGAGAGAGAGAGAGAGAGAGAGAGAGAGAGAGAGAAGGCAGGTATGCAGGTGATTGTCTCTTAATCATCAAAGGTCAAATGATCTAAACAAACTTTGCAGACAGGAAATCAGACTTGAAAAAGAAAATGAGAAACCTCTGACAAACTCACATGCGGCTAACAGCTTGGACCTGTATTCCCATAAGCCTCGTCCACTCAGAGTTCAGCTAATCTGCACCTGTATTCCCATAAGCCTTGTCCACCCAGAGTTCAGATAACCTGGACCTGTATTCCCGTAAGCCTTGTCCACCCAGAGTTCAGCTAACCTGGACCTGTATTCCCGTAAGCCTCGTCCACTCAGAGTTCTTCAATGGAATAAGCACCACTTAATATTTACCATATGGGTAAAAATGTGCACACTGCTGAATTTGCTTGCCTGCAGTGTTACAATAGCCTTCATCACGTTGGGAACATGTTCCTGATTCCATTCTTAGACTGAAAATCAGGAGGATCAGAGAGCCAAGAATTCTCAAAACAAGCCAAAAAGTACTACAACAAAAACAAAACAAAACAAAAATCATTGGGCCAGTCAGATTGCTCAGTGGGCAAAAGCACTTGTTTCCAAGCCTTTAACCTGAGTTCAATTCCTGGAACCCACAGGAATGAAAGAGAGAATCACCTCCTGCAAGTTGTCCTCTGAGCTCCATACTCAGCTGCAGTATGCACACGAAAATATGAGTGTGCACATATGCACGAGTGTTCTCACACTAGCTCGCAGACATACACACACACACCACACGCACGCATAATAAATGGCCAACTAGGTAAATGAAAAAATTTAAAAAATAAAAGGAAAGAACCATGTGCCCTAAATAATTTAGTCAAGAATTTTCTGAAAATTATGTTTACATTATGATTAAGTTACCATTGCAGAATTACTGTCGCTGTTTTCTTTCAGCCTAATTGCTAATCGTGTGATTACAGATTTTTAAAGTAAGGGTTACATGCAGGTTCCTTTATCAGGACCCTGATAAATAAGACTCACTTGCTGTGGATTAATCTTTCCGTAGACTGTGTGGATATCCGTTGCTACGACAGAGAACAAGTAAGACTCACAACATGAGATCGAGGTAGAAGCCACGGGCCTTGGGGTGGCACGCAGATGAACAGAAATGGGTTGAGTCATTGGCAGAGCATTTGTAATGCACACTGAGTCTCCGAGTCAGTTATTGACAGGGAAACTCCACCTACACTCACTGGGTTTTACCATTTGAACTCTACTACTGCTAGTTCCCCGAAGGTCGTTTCAATCCAAAACTGGCTAAGTGGAGAGATCCACAGAAAACAGTGATCTGAAATGCATCATGAAGACTAAAACAGAAGGCAGGAGCAGTGGTTTGAGAGAAAATGGCCCCCACAGACTCAAAGGGAGTGGCACTATGAGGAGGTGTGGCCCTGTGGGAGGAAGTGTGTCACTGGGGGCGGGCTTTGCGGTTTCAGATGCTCAAGCCAGGCCCAGTGTCCCACATTCTCTTCCTGCTGCCTTCTGATCTGCATGTAGAGCTCTTTGCTATTTCTCCCACACCGTGTCTGCCTGCGGGCCACCTGCTTCCCACCGTGATGACAATGGACTGAACCTCTGAACTGTCAGCCAGCCCCAATTATGTTCCTTTATCAGAGCTGTCATGGGAAACATGGGTGGTGATGCACACCTTCAATCCCAGCCCTCGGGAGGCAGAGGCATGTGGATCTCTGTGAGTTCAAGGCCAGTCTGGTCCATAGAGCCCCTTCCAGGACAGCCAGGACTAGGTAAAGAAACCCTGCTCAAAAAAACAAAAACCAAACAAATGAATTGCCATGGTCATGGTGTCTCTTCAGAACAACAACAAAAAAAAAACCTGACTAAGGCAGCAGGCTTATTTATATCATTCCACATTTTCCATAGTGAGCAAAAGTATATAAGAAGGCTTCCGTGGTCCATGGCACTCCACATTATTTCAGCATGAGCCCCACACCTATACGCACAAATCTCACCAAAGTAGCTCACGGTCGAGTCCCTAAGAGAAATCAGTGAAAAAGCCAAGACAAATGACTTTGGCAAGGTTTCCAATGCCTCTCCAAACAGCAGCATCCTTGGAAAGAATATGGCTTCAGACTTGGGGGTAATCCCCAGAGTCACAGTGGATATGGCAGAGCCTTGGCATACATAATTATGAATACGTCTTGGCATCCCTTAACTCGCCTCAACTCAGCTGCCTTCTGCCATGCTGTCATGACTCAGGAAGTAAGGCAAGCATAAACTGCAGACGACGCACACAGATGCCTGAGTTTGGACTCCATGTGTCTGGATCAGATCTGCTCCATTAATTAGCAAGAAAAGGAAAAGAAAAAGAGAGAGAGAGACAAGACAGACAGGCAGACAGCCATGAATGCTGAACAATGGTGAGCAAGAGCTAGAGAAACTCCAGGGTCAGTACCACGGACACATACTCACAAAACAAGTACCACGGACACATACTCACAAAACAAGTACCACGGACACATACTCACAAAACAAGTACCACGGACACATACAAAACAAGTACCACGGACACATACTCACAAAACAAGTACCACGGACACATACTCACAAAACAAGTACCACGGACACATACAAAACAAGTACCACGGACACATACTCACAAAGCAAGTACCACGGACACATACAAAACAAGTACCACGGACACATACAAAACAAGTACCACGGACACATACAAAACAAGTACCACGGACACATACTCACAAAGCAAGTACCACGGACACATACTCACAAAACAAGTACCACGGACACATACTCACAAAACAAGTACCACGGACACATACTCACAAAACAAGTACCACGGACACATACTCACAAAACAAGTACCACGGACACATACTCACAAAACAAGTACCACGGACACATACAAAACAAGTACCACGGACACATACTCACAAAGCAAGTACCACGGACACATACAAAACAAGTACCACGGACACATACTCACAAAGCAAGTACCACGGACACATACTCACAAAACAAGTACCACGGACACATACTCACAAAACAAGTACCACGGACACATACTCACAAAACAAGTACCACGGACACATACTCACAAAGCAAGTACCACGGACACATACAAAGCAAGTACCACGGACACATACTCACAAAACAAGTACCACGGACACATACAAAACAAGTACCACGGACACATACTCACAAAGCAAGTACCACGGACACATACTCACAAAACAAGTACCACGGACACATACAAAACAAGTACCACGGACACATACTCACAAAGCAAGTACCACGGACACATACTCACAAAACAAGTACCACGGACACATACAAAACAAGTACCACGGACACATACTCACAAAGCAAGTACCACGGACACATACTCACAAAACAAGTACCACGGACACATACAAAACAAGTACCACGGACACATACAAAACAAGTACCACGGACACATACTCACAAAACAAGTACCACGGACACATACTCACAAAACAAGTACCACGGACACATACAAAACAAGTACCACGGACACATACTCACAAAACAAGTACCACGGACACATACAAAACAAGTACCACGGACACATACTCACAAAGCAAGTACCACGGACACATACAAAACAAGTACCACGGACACATACTCACAAAACAAGTACCACGGACACATACTCACAAAACAAGTACCACGGACACATACTCACAAAACAAGTACCACGGACACATACAAAACAAGTACCACGGACACATACTCACAAAGCAAGTACCACGGACACATACAAAACAAGTACCACGGACACATACTCACAAAGCAAGTACCACGGACACATACTCACAAAACAAGTACCACGGACACATACAAAACAAGTACCACGGACACATACTCACAAAACAAGTACCACGGACACATACTCACAAAACAAGTACCACGGACACATACTCACAAAACAAGTACCACGGACACATACTCACAAAACAAGTACCACGGACACATACTCACAAAACAAGTACCACGGACACATACTCACAAAGCAAGTACCACGGACACATACAAAACAAGTACCACGGACACATACTCACAAAACAAGTACCACGGACACATACAAAACAAGTACCACGGACACATACAAAACAAGTACCACGGACACATACTCACAAAACAAGTACCACGGACACATACTCACAAAACAAGTACCACGGACACATACTCACAAAACAAGTACCACGGACACATACAAAACAAGTACCACGGACACATACTCACAAAACAAGAGGCACAGACTCCTTTTCTCAGTGCACTTATGTAACAGTAAACCTTCATTACTGAATCCCTATTGAAATGTCCTTTCCATCATGGCTCTGTATCGCATCCTTACATATTTAGATTTGATATTTGAGAAGCATTTAAAGCAAGAGAAAAATGAAACAGAAAGAAAAAACAGTGAAGAGCAAGGGGAGAGGATTAAGGAAAAATACAGACATCAGAAGACTAACAAAAAGCACTAAGAGTTCCCTCCTGTTTTTAGCAGTATACAAAGAATTTTGAGGAAACGGTTCTAATAAGTGGGTCTAGCCTGCTTTCCTTTCAGGGTTCTAACATGGTGGTTGCCATCATAAACACACTGGCTATGCCCTGTTTAGCAACACTCCTTTTGAGGTACAGTCTTGGACTTTTCCCAACAAATATTACATACATATGGACTTCTACATTTTTATGAGCAGCCTGGATGTCTGCGTAGTGTGAATTAAGTAGTACAGTGTAAATTAAGACTGCCCAATAAGAAAGAACCCTAAGAGAAGGAATGTTTAAAAAGATGGCTTTTTTGACGACTCTGAGATTAAGTGGCTTAATCCATACAGAAGGGGTAGGATGTAAAATGCAATCCGTTTATTCATAACACAAGGGTCTT